TGATCTGATTCTATCACATGTATAAATATTAAATGCTTATATATTATTGCTTTTCACTGGTAAAAATGTGTTTTGGGGATAAATCTACCTAGTTTTTTTCTTTTCAAGCACTTTGTTTGATTTCTTGATTTTATTTGAATAATTTCCTGCCCTTTCTCTCTCTAACCTTCCTGCATGCTGCATGTTTTCTCCATCTTCCAGAAAAAACTGTTTCCTAGATTTCCTACTTTCTAACGATCAGCCAGAGGGATCTTCACTTGCGCGGCGCTCCAGCAGTAATGAGTTAAAATCACCGGGGCCCAGATTAACTCAGATGAGGCAAAGCACGTCAGAAAAGTACAGAATAACAGAGAATATGCGCTGATATGAACGATCGCAGGTGAACTATTTTGTTTTAGTGGAGCGATTTTGTGAATGTTGCAGCGGCCGCGTGGAGGACGCAGCTGGAGTAGTTGAGCCGTTACCGCGGTGTCCTCTCTGCCCGCAAAGCTGAGTCCATAAATGACGTAATATATGCATATACTGGATCTTTCTTCGGGTTTCCCGCAATTTGAATTTTTAAGAAACGTATCTTGATTCTGGGTTTAAAATACATTGTAATTACTGCGTTACTGACAATTGTACCGAGTAAATATTACCATTTTCTTTCCCTGTAATGCCTTACATTACCACATTACAGCAAAAAGCAATGCATTACAGTAATTAATTACTTCTGTACCGCATTACTCCCAACACTGGTCGTTTTTCTTCTTCCGTCAAGATGAACTTAAGAAATTTGGGTGTTACTTTTGACCAATCAATGTCTCTTGAAGGCCACTCAAAAACTTTGGTCCGAAACTCTTTTTATTATTTAAGAAATATCTCCAACCTGCGAAGGTTGGTTTCAAAACATGAATTGGTTATCCATGCCTTTATCTCCTCCCGTCTAGATCACTGTAACACACTTTTCACATGTTTTAACAAAAAAGCCCTTGACCGCCTTCAGTTGGTCCAGAACTCTGCAGTGAGGCTCCTAACTGGAGCAAACAGAAGAGCACACATTACTTGTCTCTCCACTGGTTACCCGTTAACTTTAGAGTTCATTTTAGAATCCTGATTACAACTTTCAATGCTCTACATGGTCAAGCTCCTCCAGTGCTTCCCTTACATAGGCGTAGCCGTGGCGGCCTGCCACGGCTGAAATCTCACCGTCACGCCTACAAGATCCCAAGTTTTATTGATTTTTTTAAATATATTTTTTATTATTGTTATTTTTTGCACCGTTTCCCAAAGAAGCAGCGGTAACTACTCTGTTGTTGCTTGTGATCACAGCCGGCAGGCAGCAAGGAGGAGGAGGCAGGGCAGGGTGGTTGCAGCTAGGGATGAGCGTACGGATAAAGCATTTCTGATGAATACGAGCATGAAACGAGTGTAAAACTCGTGAATATTTGTAATCGTGCTGAAGGAAAATCTTCTTTGGGTAACTGACTGTCTTCATGCTCTGTGATTGGCCAGTCACATAGAGCGCCCTCCCCTCCCTACACACAAAACTCTGCAGCCGGGAGCTCAGTCAGCTCGGCCCAGGCATCCACGCCCACACACAGAGTAACGAATCTCTCTCTGCTTGCTTCACTGTCTCTTACGTTTCTTCAGTACTCCCTACGTTTTCTTCAGCTCGCCTCTTTTTCAGTTCAATATTTAAAGTAATTTTTTTTTGCAACATACATGGTGCATTTGAAAAGACAGAGCTGAAAACGGCTCGTGCTGCGTCGGTCACTGCCTCCGCTCCAGTCGGGTTTTTTAAAATGATTTTAACTCTCTCTCCCTCTCTCTCTCTCAGACACACACACCTTAACCAACATTGTTTTGTTTAACTCTGTGTGGGGAAAAATGCCAACAACGTTAGGAAAAAATCTGTTTAATCAAATTAAAATAAAATAAAAAGTTGTGTCTGGTTCTAGTATTTCATATTTCCTAGTTCCTACTGCATGAGTTCAGATGCATTAATTCATGCCCTTAAATATTAATGTTCTGATTTTACTGAAAAACTTGTTCTGTAATACTTCCTTTACTATTGTGATCAAAAATATTTAATCTCAGTTCTGAGGCTGCTCTGTAAATAGTTTTCAAATAAACAATTGTTTATAAATAAACAACTTCTGATCAGTCCATATCAATTTCAGATTTAAAATAATGTATTGATGTAAACCACACCCACTAATTTCCAAATAATAAATAAGAGGTGCATTCATCTGTGTATCTCCTTTGATCCGCATTAGTGATATTTTCAGCACCAGAACAATGAAGCAAAGAAACAGATTCCTGAGTTTGTTAGTAATTTTATTTATTAGGTGCATCTGACCTGTTCTATTTTTCTCTGAAATGATATCAAAGCAGTGCTTCTATGGGTTGTCTCCTCTCTGCACTAGAAAAATGTTCTATAAAAATTATAATGTTCACTGCAATGCATCTTGATGTTCTTAACAAATAAATCAAAGATATTGGTCAATAATGCCAAATATGTAAATTTGTGTTTCAGTCATTTTTATACTGGCTTAAAATACTTCATTAAGTCTACTAAGCAGGGGTGTAGAACGTGTTTAACAGGGCCAGCCCAGTAATGATCTTGGACCAAAATAAAGGGGGCAGAAAGTTAAAGGGGGGCTTAGCAATTTTATTTTGACTGAATTTATCGTAGGGAATTTCAATAAAGGGGGGCAGAAGGAGATGTTTTTCTAGACGCCAAGAAAAATTAAATGCCAAATCCCCCCTGCAAAGTGTGTCACTGAGAGTTTAAAACAGAAATTATTCTTGTGCAAATATTGGTGTATTCACCTTTAATACTAGTTATTAAAATGCAGCAGTTGCTGGATTGTGCAGTTCAAAGTGGAGTGCATCAAATAAAACAATATTAACATAAAGGTGAGACATGTCATAATTACCCCCCCCCCCCCCCCCCCCCCCGCCACCGCCACCACCACAGCTGGAACAACTCCTAGGGGAAACACTGTCCTCCCTATATTACTGAACTGTTAAAGCCTTATGCTCCAACCCGAGCCCTCAGGTCTACACACTAGAACCTTGTAGAAGTTCCAAAGACCAGATACAAAAGTCGAGGTGATCGCTTCTTCCAGACTGTTGCACCCCGACTCTGGAGTGATCTTCCTTTATCTTCATGTAGCATTGACAGTCTGGACACTTTTAAAAAACAGCTACCCTTTTATTTAAAGCTGCTTTTACCTAAACCTTTTATTTTCTTATTTTTAGCTCAATTTTTTTATCTTTCATCTGTTTATGAAAATTTATAATTTTATGACTATTTTTTTCTGATGCAACTCTAATTCTTTTTTGAGAGCATTTTGATTTTATGGTGTTAATCTATTTATGATTTTATGACTTTGTTTTATTTTGTTTCAATCTATGTGAAGTACTTTGTGAATACTTACTTTAACAAATTGCTTCGGCTAGTGGAGGGTCACGAGAAGATTAAAATGCTTTTTCCGGGGCTTTGAATTCCTTTGACAGCTTAGAGCACCAGTAGAAGTGGAAACATTAATACTTACCTCATGTTTAAATGAGGTAATGTGCACTTCAGCCTAATGTTCATTAACTCCGATTACTTTACCGTGGGGATTTTTCATTCAGAGTTGCATAAAGTAGAAAACAAAGTTGTTTTCTAAATACATGATAAATGGACTTTATATATCAAGCACCTTTTAGAGTCCTACAACCCCCCAAGGTGCTTTACAACTTAACAGTCATTCACTGATTCACACACATTCACACACTGGTATTGATAAACTACATGGCAGCCACAGCTGCCCTGAAGTGCTCTGACACCGGCCAACCTGCTGAGCACAGGCACCACCGCTCCCTCCGACCACCACCAGAAGACGAGGAGGGAGAATTGTCTCGCCCAAGGACACGGCTGCCAAAGATTGTGCAGGGCTCAAACCCGCAACCTTCCAGATATGGGGTGGGCACTTATAGTTGTGCAAAAAGGTTGGACTCTGATCCTCGAATGGTGTGATTCAATAAATTCCTCTAATCCTTTGTGGACTGATTTGAGGCTTTGTTAAATTTGCACCACAGTCTGAACACAATCTACTGGTGCTCAACATGGTGATTTAGGTGATGTGGTGGAAAATAGAGAAACCAGCAAAGACACAAACCATTATAAAAGGTAGAAATGGTCTGTTATGGTTTTGGATCGAGAGTAACTACGAGATTATCTAATGCCAAAGGCTAGCACGTAGCACACTCATAATCAAGTGAGGTTCGGAAAAACCACGATGGTGGTAAATGACTAAACTCTACAAATGAAAGATAAATTCCCACCGTACTGATTATGTGTACCTGTCTGCAGCGGTACACTGTGAAAAGCTACCTATAGAACCTAACTCTAACCATGTCGCCTCCATAAGGCGTGGTGGGTGATTCTTCATCGAATTGGAGGTGTTACGCGAGAGCGTGTGAAGAGGCTCAAATGTGTGTCTCACGCGCAATGAGTGAGAGATGGCAGCCAACACAGCACAGAACTGTAAACGGACACTCTGGCCAACATGTACAATTGTTCAGTTTGTTAATTACATATACTTGGTAATCCAGCAGTACTAAACTAGTAGCTTTGAGTATGTTCTACTCATTATAATCTGGTTCTATTTGTTATTTAGATAAAGTAAGTAGAATGAACTTATTTTTCTTTACTTCTGTCTTTAACTAATAGATTTAGTCACATTTTAGATCATTTTATTGGGTAATTTTTAATATTCCAACACGACAATGATCAAAAACAAGAGGTCAAGTGGACCTGCCACTGACTCTGCCCATTCCAAACAAGACAACGTTGAAGCCTTAAACTCTAACTCAACCCTTTCCAAACATGTCCATTGAATCCCCAGACCAAGTACCTTACGAAGCATCATCGTCCAGTTGATTCATTGCCTTTATCCAATGTACGTTTTGAGAGGTTTGATGTTTTGGAGGCAGGTTAGCGTTGATGCTCTTCTGCTGTCATGCAGGATTTAGGTCCCTACAAGAAACAGGGTCCAGGCTTTCTGAGCCGGATGGGGGAGACGATGAGGGCTGTGGCCATCTCGGTGCGAGGACTGAGGACTAAGCCAGAGGAGTTCACTGTCATGCAGGAGTACATCGACCACTTCAGTACTAAAATTTGCTCTGTGGACAAAGTCACCCAAAGGATCATCAAGGAACAAAAAGGTATACGCAACTAACTCAGAGATCTCATTCTCCTAGACGTCTTCACTTGTTTAACTGAGTCATGTTTTCTTGTGGCTTGATTCTAAAACAATTCTTGATTACTGTTATTGAACACTATTCAAGAGGAAACATTTTATTTCTCCTCTTCAGACTAAAACGCACCACACTGGAGTAAAGCTCATCAAAATAAGAGCATCTGAGCTCTTGACCATTCAATAAGAATTAGGTTCACTTCACCAGTTTTCATCCTTGTATTATAGATCTTGAAAGAATACCTTAAGAATGTTTTACTTTATCTTGAACAGCAACACAGTTTTATAGCTCCAGTTTTCTGGTATAGAGGGTGTGTGGTGGAGTTGGGCTGTAGTGGTGAATAAACAGGGACAGACAGATGGTGTGTTCAATTTGTTCTCGGAAGTTAACATTTCTGAATTAGGAGTTTGGTAACTCAACCTGAACTTTACCTGGAGACTGAGTTCAAACTCTGAAAGTCAGAGAAAATTTATGAGATGGTCTTCTAGCGAATTCTAGCATTTTAGCCTACCTCCAGACGTTTTCTGTTGAACTGGCTGACATGTGCTTTTAATTCCTACATCCAACAACATCCCATGGCTCAGTTCACTCTGCCTATCTGCTCATCTAGAGTATATGGACGAACTGAAGCAGTACAGCCCCTCCTACCTCCAGTGGGCAGAATTGGAAGAAGAGCTGGCAGAACCATTGAAAGGTGTAGGCAACTGCATAGAGCGATGCAGTAAGGAAACTGAGGATCAGATCCAGCACCTGTCTGAAGTCCTGCTCCCCACCCTGCATGAGTATGTCCTCTGTGCCGACACTTTGAAGGTGAGTCCAGGTGGCACCAGTCTGACAGGGTTTATTCAGGAAGGTTAAAAGATGCAGCAGAACCTCTGATACCACTCCACAGATGTGTCCAGATTGCTGATTCAATCAATCTATCAGGTTTTATTTATAAAGCACTTTTCAAACAAAGTACTACTCAAAGTGCTTTACAAAATGACCCCAAATTCCCATAACAGTTTAAAAACATTAACAGACATATGCACACACACACACACTCGTAAAAATTTATATTCGCCTGAGTCCAGATGAGCCAAGTAAGGTAAGGCAAAGAAACGCCATCAGAGGAGCCGTCTTTCCCGGCAGCATCAGGTCTTCCACAGCAACTAAGTCAGGGCGCTCAGAGGAGGGGGAGCATAGACTCCCACCTACACTTAAACACTACCTATAGAGCGCCCAGGAAGCTAAAGTTGACCACCGCCCCCGGGGCAGAGGGCCCCCACAGAGAAAACACTGGATTAAAATGAGTAAAAATGTGAAAATAAAAGAGCTAATATAAATGACAAATGGAAGAAAATAAGCAATCAATAAAATCATATAGACAGCAAAATAATAATGAAACTGTGCTAAAATATAATCATATGAAATATGCAAAGCAAGCAATAAAATATAATCATGTAAAACGAGAAATAAAACTGTAGTAAATAATTAGATAAAAGCTAACCTAAATAGATGGGTCTTGAGCCTGGACTTAAAAACATGAACATTCTCTGCGGCCCTGAGGTCCTCTGGCAGCTCGTTCCAGAGGCGAGGGCCAAAATACTGGAAGAATGCCTCGCTGTGAGTGTGTGTCCTGACTTTAGGGATGACCAGGAGACTCCTTCCAGAGGAGCACAGAGGCCATGAGGGTTTATATGGTAAAAGCAGTTCTGAGAGATAAGAAGGCCCAAGACCATTAAGACACTTAAAAACCATTAGAAAAACCTTAAAATTGATCCTGAAACATACAGGGAGCCAATGCAATGATTCTAAAACCGGTGTAATGTGTTCCCGTCTCCTGGTCTTCATCAGGACACGTGCTGCCGAATTTTGTAGGAGTTGTAAACCTGAGATGCTCTTTTTGGGAAGACCAGAAAGCAGGGCATTACAGATTGGGATTCTGGTCAGGTTCCGATTTGACCAAATTCTAACTTCATATAACCCTCCCACTGTCTTTATGGGTGACCCCGCGAGGAAAGTTGACCATTGAGCAGGATTGATGGTTTATCCCTTGAGGTCCACGTGGCAGGGGTGAGGTGGTGCTCACTCCTCACCCCTGCCACACGTAGCTCATCACCATCAGTTGTGTGAATGGATGAATGATACACGCAGGCCAGAGTGCTGAAGCTCGGCGCATTGTTATTATGAAGCTAGGGCACATGCGGAGGACACACACGCGCAAAAATATACTTGTTTTCAATTACGTTTATTGGGCCCACTTACTTTTTCTTAGGCCCACCGACAAATGAGTTTCTGGCTACGCTAATGGTAGCCATTACACTTTTCACCTCGCGCACCCCTAGCGGCAGCTTGCGCTCCCCCGGGGGTGCGCGCTCCACACTTTGGGAATCCCTGCTTTAACATATTGGTCTTTTATGTGTTTAAGAAAGGCCTGAACCAGTAAAGTGGTCGTTGGATATTCCGCACTACTTGGTACAAACCTCTGAGTTTCTCCAGGAACTTACTAGTCTTTATTATCTACAGGGTTCACTTCTTAATATGACATCCTGTCATAAAAATATGGCACTTTTAAGAATCACCTTATCACACTGTAACAATTCTGACTTTAGACTTTTAATGGAAGGTAAGCAATAGCTGTGATGTTTGGTTTCTTTCAACACAAAATGATGTCTTCCTCCTGTTTAATATTTTATACCTGCTCCTAAAAGATAAATATACCAAAAGAGCTGGATTAATTTCGTCTCTCTAAGGTCAGGTCTATCCTCAGTACTTGGACCATAAATCTCAACATGTTCAGCAATCTCAACATGTTCAGCAGACACTGATGAGCTTTTAATTTGGGAATGTTGGCATCACCAGTTTTGTTATTTTTCCAGAAAATCTAAAAGTGTCTTTTTTGTTAGGATAAAGCATAATTGTTTTTGAGTCATCAGTGATTTGTGCAAACATTTGGATTCTCTTGGTAGAGGGAGTAAATGGCTGCTAGCAGAGGGCCATCCACCTCATACTCCTCGAGTGTTCCCCACAGGTTTCTCCTGCAAGCGTGGTCATGCTCTTTCTCCAGATTCATAAACATTTGTAGACTGGTTGGTCAAACTTCCATGCCCCACTTTCATCACCTGTCAACCAGAACCTCTTCTCTAGTACCTTGGAGGAGAACTTTCTATGGAGTCTGAGGTGTGTGTGATCCCTTGTAGTTAGGAAACACCCTCTGGTAGGGCTGAACGAGTTTAGGAAAAGATTAAGTCACAATTTCTCTAGGAGAAATTGTGATTTCAGTTCAATTTACAATTTATTTCAAATCAAGGTTCTAGAGTAAACAATATTCACAAAATAGAATAATAATATACTAGGGGGTGTGTATTGTGAAATTCTGGCGATACGGTTCGTGTCATGATAAATGGGAGATGATGCAATAGATCGTGATATATTGCGATTCATAGGGAACCTAAGTCACGCCCATCTATTTCTGCACCACGGGTCCCCGGAAGAACGAAAAAAATGAATGCAAATCATCGGGGCTAAAAACACTATTTTCTAATTCTGCTTGTTTTGTGCCATGGGTTTCACATATGATGTCCGTTAATTTTAAAGACGCATTTTGATACCAAGAACGTGCTTATTTACGACCAGTGGGAACGCTATTTTAGGTTTTGTGTGAAAATAAGTCCAGGACTACAAATGTGCTTCACAAAAATGACATCATTGAACCAGACACAGAGAAAACTGAGGCAAAAGGGCTGTAAGGTCAGCAAATGTCCCACAGGAGGAAAGAACCACCATAAATCTGGTCATGTGGTAAGTAGCAGCTACGCTAGGGGAGAGGAGATTATATGGTGACGTCACAAATGCGATGTGCCGATTTTTGGTGCGTAGTCATGCTAATTACGAACTTTTACAAGCTGATAAATGTCAAAGTAGGTGACTGGTGCCGTCAAAACACCTATCAGTAGTTTTCATTTAAATTGCAGTACAACATTTATGTGATCCAGGGAGTAAGGCAAAGCGGAATAGAAAATGTCGTTTTTAGCCCCGTTGACTTGCATTCATTTTTTCATTCTTCCGGGGACCCATGAGCCGACCGGAAGGGGAGGAGTCTTAGGCTCCTTATTCAGTCAGACAGTCTTAGCAATTTTATTTTGACTGAATTTATCGTAGGGAATTTCAATAAACAGTCCAAACTGATACGTAACATGTTTAACGTGAGGTATCTGAACCATAACAAAGGGATTTACATTACAATGGTGGAAACAAAACCCAATGCACACTGCTGCCAACTAGCAGTCAGCATTCGAATTGCACCAAAAGAAAAGAATGCAAATGTAAATTATTCTAAAAATTAGATACATGGCTTTTAAATATCGATATAATATTGCTGGAAAATATATCACGATACACTGCCATATCAATATTTTCTTACATCCCTATAATATATATATATATATATATATATATATATATATATATATATATATATATATATATATATATATATATATATATATATATATATATATATATAATATTTAAAAATACAAAATAATAATACATAAAAACTTTAAAAGCAGTATTACCTTTTTTTAATCTTTATTTATTTCAAGGTGCTTGTGAAGCAACTTGTGATTTTTATCTAGAGGTACTTTATAAAAAACATGTTCTTCTTGTTCTACTCTAATAATGCAAGGAAAACTGAAGGTAAAAATAGCTTTCAGATGTATTAAATAACAAAAATGCATACAGAGTGTTCCCTGCATTATTTACCAAGGCTGGCTGCATGGGTGGTTTTCTGGGCCGTCTGACACTCTTAACACCCAACTCTGACATGTTTTACATGCTTGTTGGAATTACAGTGTGCCCTCATAAATATTCAAACCATTTTTAAAAGAAGATAAGTTGGACTTTCAAGTCCAATAAAGTCCGCGACTCGAGCTGATTGAGAAGTATACATCAGCCTTTAGTGTTATCGTGGTAAACTCTAATCCGCCGCTGGAGCCGTCTCTCTGTCCCCTGCTCACCCACGGCGCTGAGAGGGACAACAGCCACAGCCATCATTATGGCTCTTGTAGAGCCATGTAAGGAAAATAACCAAAACGTGCAGCTCTGTCAGCTCAACTATTGGGCTCAGCTCCGGTGCCCCCCTCCCCCTCGCTGCTTCCACTGTGACTCGGGGGAACTCTGGATGTCTAGAAAAGTTGACACAACAGACCCTGGATCAGTGCTACAAAAACCACACCTTACCTGGTCCAAAAGTGATTGAATGTTCAGCCCTACCCTCTTCCCCCCTTTCTTAAAAATAGGGACCACCACCCCTGATGTCCATGCAATGTTAGAGACGTATCTGTCAAGACAGATGACATCCATAGCTGCCCACACAGGATGGACCTTGTCAACCTCCAGAGATCCACCATTTTGTAGATCAGGGCTATTCAATTTTGGGCCTCGAGGGCCGGTATCCAGCACATTTTGGTTTTAACCCTGCTTCAACACACCTGATTTCAGTCACCAGGTTACATCAGCAGGCTTCTACAGAGCCTGATGAGTTGCTGCACAGGTGATTCAACCACTGAATCTAGTGTGTTGGACTAGAGAAACCATTAAAACGTTCTGGGTACTGGCCCTCAAGGCCCGGAGTTGAATAGCCCTGGTGTGGGTGCTTGCATAGAGATAGGTTGATCCATTCCTAGATCCCCCGGCTCTGGTTCCTCATTGGAATACGTGTCAGTGGGATTAAAGAGCTTCTAAACATTGCCCAGCAACATCAGGAGTGGACGTTGGCAGATCCCTCCCTGTTCCTGCGGTAAACAGTGTGATTGAGTGGGTAGAGTCTTAGGGGGAAGCCTATCCTGGCCCTCTGTCTCCTTCTCAGAGCACGCCCTTCAAGTCCAACCCAAGTCCTTGACAAAGGTTGGGTTCTGACTCTCAGAGCTGATGCTATGTGTAGAGCTGAGTCCTACTACATCTAGTTGGTCCACACGCTCCAGCTCCTTCCACCAGAGAGGAGACGGTCAGTGTCCCTAATGCCCGTTTAAGGTTCCAGGGATTCGGCCACCAAAGCCTCCACCTCTTTCTTCCCCCTTATCCACAACACACTAAACCTGTTCCTCCTATCGGCGTTAGGTCCACAGGTGCTTTGCTGTGCCAATCAATCAAGGCTTTATTCATATAGCGCCTTCCTCACCCATTACGGGAGGCCAATGTGCTGAAGAATAAAATACAATCATGATACAAGAGATTAAAACATTGAACATGAAACAACAGACTTAAAAGCAAAAAATCGAAACTACATAAAAGTAAGCCAACTTCAAGCATGTTCAGGAAATGCTAAATGAAAAAAAGGGTTTCCAGGTGACTCTTAAAGACAGACAAAGAAGTAGACTGCCTGAAGCTTGGTTTATGCTTGACGCATTTACTTTCCGCTTGGTGATGCGGCTCGCGGCTGGAACGCGCTTCACAACTTGTAGCGTTTATGGTTCATGCGGTTCGTCTCTGCGGTGAGCTAATATTCTCCCAAACTGTAGGGGGCAGCATGGAGCTCTACAGCATGCATCCAACACTACACCATAGTAGAAGTAAAAATGACTGTTGTTTACAATATGGCATTCCAGCATTTTTAACAGCGTCCTCGACTTTTCCGACAGTGCGAGCTATTTCTCTCCAAGAATTATTAACAACATGTTGATCACGGTGATCTCTGAGAGCTGAATCATACAAATGTCTGTGTTTACGAACCTCTGCCATACTAGTTCTTGCCGGTCCGCCATATTTTTCCGCGTCCGACCGTCCGCGTGCTTAGAAATTTTCCTAGGTGCGCGTTGCGGAAATTTTGGACCCCGCGGTGGAGGGGCGTGGTTGTTAAAATGACGAAATTTTGCCGCGCAGAGCCGTGCGGACCTCGCGGACGCGTCAAGCATAAACCAACCTTAACTGACTGTGGGAGCTGGTTCCAGAGTGACAGCGCTAGAAATGATAAAGGCCGGTCTCTACGAGTCTGACACCTAGTACAAGGGACAACTAGCAGGCCCTGATCAGAGGAGCACAGAGAGCGTGATGGGACATATCGTTTCAGAAGCGCCGCTAAGTAAAGAGGGGCGCCTCCATGGAAGAAATTTCAAACAAACACCAGAAGATTAAAACGTCCGCTGTGTGAGAACAGCAACCGCCCCACATATTTATCAGAACTCATCTGATCTCAGAGTAGTTGGACTAAAATGTTCAGATTTTTATGGATAGTTTTTACTAATTCATAATTAGTAATTAGTAATTCATAATCAGTAATTAATGAGGTTTTACAGCATCTGAGTGAGCATCCTCTGATTGTTCTGATGAAACAACGTCCATTTCACTCGTTGGTTTTAGGCTGTGATGAGACGCAGAGACAACATCCAGGCCGAGTATGAGGTGAAGAACGAGGCCTTGGTGTCGAGGAGAGTCGAACAAGAAGGAGTGAGCTCGCACACACACACACACACTCACACACGCTCACACACACATCAGACATACCGATGCTCTATATCGGGGTAAAGGCAGGACAAAGCATACCTTTGTTCTGCCTGTCTTGAGCGCGCTGATAAGAGCTAGTCTAAAACATCAGCAGATGATTGTCTGAGAAACAATCAGCTCCGTTTTTATTGATGTGATAATCCGTTTTCTTTGGGCTGGTGTGAACCATGGACCCAACGTCAGACGGAAAATGTGCATCTTAGTTTGCTTATAGTGTTGAAAGCAAACAGACCAAATGTTTAACTGGAGAGGAAGTGTTCAAATGATAAAATGAAAGATCAAACCGAACCGGGAGCGTGAATCTGAAGACGTGGAGGTAGTTGCGAGGAGGTGTTGGACCTTCCAGATGATTAGAAATCTCTGTTCCTTTCTTTGTTTTTAATGTGAACAAACTTTCTAAAGAGGAAGGAAGTTCTGGTTTTGGTCTTGGCCAGTAGAAGAGTTGGGTTCCATTTCCGGTCTATTTTTAAAGCACTACTGGAACAACAAGCTGACCAAGGAGCTGTACATGAAAGCCAAGACGAGAACGAGCTCAGAGCAAAGGATGAAACAGGCAGGCACTGGGAAGGCTGGGCGTAAAATCTGTGTTATCAAGATTTAGAAACAGGAAGTGAAGGAACCATTCCAGAGTTTAGACCTTCTATCATCGTGTCTGTGGACCCATAAAGAGCATCTGGTCTGCCGACCTGGGAGAGGGAGCTGCAGGTCAGCAGAAAAACACCCAGATTTAAATCACGAGTGGATGAAAGCCAGTTAAGGGAAGCCAGAGTTAGTGTTTCTCTTTTTCCTGAACCATTTCCAGTTCCAGCTGCAGACAGACCCGACTCAGAGACGAGCTGTTGCAGTAATCAAGCCGAGATTTTTCTTTCAGCTCAGCCCCTGTGCAGACCAGATCAGCGTCCTCATTAGAAGAAGTTTGTGTCTGTTGGTCCTTCTCTTGTACATCCTGGTGCAGGAAGACCTCATCTAGATTAGATTTCTCTTTCCTAAGAACCCCACGGTTCCAACACTGTGTTGTTGTTGTTTGTGTTTTTCAGGTTAGTTGTGTTGTAAGACTCAAACGTTCTACCTTCACACCTGAAAACATGAACTTTACTTAATGATCAGCAAACAAGCCCCCCGGGTCTGGTCGTCTTATGTTAGTGAGGCACAGCGGGAGGTGACACTTTGGGCAGCTGTGTTACTCTTCATGATTTTCCTGTATAAACTGTTGTTGTTAGGATGAAAGATTACTGTTGAATACATCACAAAGAAGACGCACACAGTGCTGTTTGACAAGTTCATGGGATTTACAGAAAATGTGCAATAACTGTTTAAATACAACTCCGCTGATTCAGAGGCTGTGAATTCTGCAAAAGGAGGATCTACTAAATGTTCAGTTCATTTCTTTTTTTGTTGCCCAAATTTATGCACCTGCCTGATTTACTTTCAACTATTATTGCACACTTTCTGTAAATCCTATACACTTCTCAGATATTAATGTGTGTGTGCGTGTGTGTGTGTGTGTGCGTGCGCGTGTGTGTGTGTGTGTGTGTGTGTGTGTGTGTGTGTGTGTGTGTGTGTCCGTGCATGCGTGCGCGCGCGCGCGTGCGTGCGTGCGTGTGTGTGTGTCTCAGCTGCAGGAGGAGGTGGAGGATCTGGCAGGCCGAGTGGAGCAGGCCAACAGCGCCCTGAGGGGGGACTGGACCCTCTGGAGGAACGTTATGAGAACTGACCTCAGGTCAGCCTTCGTCTCTGCAGCTGACAGGAATGTGGAATACTATGAGAAGGTAAGCACGAGATTCCGACCAAGGAAAGGCTTCAGAGGTCAGGTGATCGTGGAAAACCAACCAATAAGCAGAAAAAAAAACAGATGAGTGTGAATCTGTTTGAGTTTAGAGTCTGGAGGTGGTTCTGGTTCTGGGCCCAGTCGTGGTGAGATGGACTTTGGCTCTGCCATAGCTTTGGAACTATAGGAGGTTAAACCTTGTAGTAATGATTACTTTATTGTGCCTGGCAGAGAGGTTGCAGGTGTGAATCCCAGCTGCAGCCGTGTGTGTGTGTGTGTGTGTGTGTGGGGGGGGGGGGGGGGGGGTGTACCGTTATATAATAGAGACGTGTTTCTACATTTGTTCTTTGTTAGATCTGCCAGCAGAGGGCAGCAGAGCTTTAGGTTAAATGATCTGACTGCGGTTCTGGTTCAGGGTGGTTCTTCTGCTGCTCCTGTGGAAGCAGATGAAAGTCTGATGACAGTAATATTAGTAATAGGACTTGATCTTGTTTCATTGGATATAAATGGATGCTGTGTGGGACACCTGGTTGGGTTGGACGTGTGAGTGTGTGTGTGTGTGTGTGTGTGTGTGTGTGTGTGTGTGTGTGTGTGTGTGTGTGTGTGTGTGTGTGTGTGTGTGTGTGTGTGTGTGTGTGAGTGTGTGAGTGTGAGAGCAGGACTTCAGCTTCTCAGGGACCGGTCCCCAGAACCCTGCAGGATCATCAGCTGGTTCCTGCAGCAGCTGGTGTGTTACGGTCACTGGGCTCTCCTCAGAGCCGCAGCTGTTTGCATTAAATACAATTATCTTTTTTTTTATTTGATTTCTTTTCATAAACTGTTCCTGATTAAAATCGTTCACAGGGAGGTTCATCAGAGCTAAATGGATCCATTAAAGCAGTTTAATGAAGATTCTGTGACCTGCTCCAGAACCAGACCCTGGGTCAGAACCAGGACCTCCTGGTCTGGGCTGAAGAACAGAACCACTTCATCCTCCAACAGCAGAGATGAGACATAGAGGGTTCTAACCCAGACCCCCTCATGTCCAGGACTGAGAACCAGTCCACTAACGCCACAGACTGGACCTGAGTCAGAACCATGCAACGGGAGCAGAAGCATTTGAGTGTTTCTTCCTGGTTCCCTCGTTTAAACTGGAGTGTGTGTTCTGACTCAGATTGGTTTCCTGGACCACTGAGACCTCTTCTCTATCCTGATCTGATTCCTACCCTTCTGAGAAGGGTAGGAATCAGATCAGAACAATCTGTTTTTGAACTGAGACCTCGCAGGCCGTGACTCTGCTTTACTTCTAAACCCTGCTAGCTCGGTGCAAGTCAGACGTATTCGATGAGTTCTGACAGAACCGAGCCGAACTCGCACACCAAGATCTGTCAGATACACTCTTTTACTGCCTCTCTGTCAAGAACACTCCTGCACCATGAGGAAGTGATTGGTTTTGTCTGTAGCAGTACACACACACACACACACACACACACACACACACACACACACACACACACACACACACACACACACACACACACACACACTGTACATATTTGAGTCTAAACAGCAACAGCTGGAGAGGCTGATGAGTTTGTGTGTTTCCTGGAGACGGGTACATCACTATAAACACCGTTGTTCGTCCTTGTTTCACTCAAGAAATAATCTCATTTCTAATTAATCTCCTAGAATTAAGCTGCACAAGATGCAGAAGCCGTTTTGGTTTGGAGAGATCTCCTCTTTGCTCAGATTGAAGTCGTTGCCTTAATGTGTGAGTTCTGGTCTGGAGGTGGTTCTCGACGGCTACGTTGTTGTGATGTGTAACCATAGTAACGAGGCATTTTTTCAAGAGAAAGCAGAGGATACTGACCAGCCCCAGGTCTGGGTTGTTTAGAGACGATGATCTTGACGGTTTAATTGGGACGACTGGGACGATAATGATGGTGCGTTTGTGTCTTCCAGTGTCTGGCTGTGTGGGAGTCCTTCCTCTTGTCTCAGAGAGGAGAGTCTGTGGAGCAGACGGACTGGGAACATGGCTCTTAAACTCTGGAGAAGACCGGTTCTCAGAACCACACCAGGGTCAACCTGTGGTCTGTCCACGTGGGACCTGGAGGCCGAACCACTGTCCCGTTACAGAAAAGGACACTTTGTGTGTTTTTCTTTTCTTTGACCAAAGATGTTTGTTTCTGACTCTGAATCATTCCTCCGATCGTCATTCCTGATCTAATTATTCAGCGCTGTGCTGTCCTGTATGCAGTACTCTGGTCTTTATGGCTGGAACGTTTCAGAAAATGTTGTTTTTATTTATCTGATCAGTTCTGACGGAGGAGTTAGACCCTCTGGCTGTCAGTCATGTGTGATCTACACCTGATCTGGTTCAGCCTCTCCTCATGTCAAGCTGATCAAATGTAAACACTAAAACTGTGGAATGTGTTTTCATCATGGATGTTCTGATCTTCTCTACCCTCATCGTGACTTCTCTGTTCTATTTAATCATTTGTTCTGAGAAACATTTGGAGTTGTAACAAGCTGGCGTTTCTGATCACATAACTAACCATACCTGCAGTGTATATTAATGTCAGCTGGGTCAAATTCAGGATTATGTAATAAAGAGACTTGAGCATGACTGCAGAGACGTGTGGAGACTAGACCAGCTGGCTCTGGTCTGAATCAGCTCAGAGTTTTATTTTCTTTAGTTTTTTTTTTTTTTCTCTGATTTGGTTTCTTTTCACATGAAAATTTACAAATGAAGCAATGCTTCACTAATAACCAGGTGAGGCCATTCAATCTGCTGATTGGTCAGATTATTTGGAAGCGGGGCTTGGAGAGGAGAGGTTTCTCAAGTCTGTCCTACTGTAGTCTCCTCACTGCTACAGGGAGCGTTTCAGACTGCTCCTGTGGGATGATGCTGAAGAACAGGAACCCAACAGGCTCTGCTCATTCCACCGATACGTCCTAGCTGGTAGTAAAGGTGGCTAATCAGGCTTTCCAACAGGATAGTACACACCAGCTGGGAGATTATTGTCTGAAATAAGGTCTCCAAGCTATTGGGAAGTCGTTGAAAAGTTGCTAGGACTTTACACATTCACTGACCTAGAATGAATGAGGACTTTGGATGTGTCCTACTAAATGTCAGGGTAAAGGTTAGAGAATATGCAATCATCCATCTTCCTCTGCTTATCTGGGGTTGGGTCGCAGGGGCAGCAGGCCCAGACTCCCCTGTCCTCAGCCAGTTCAACCAGTTCCTCCGAGGAAAATCTGAAGGTGTTCCTTGGCCTGCCGAAAAACATAGTCCCTCCATCGTGTCCTGGGTCTTCCTTTAGGCCTCCTCCCAGTTGGACGTGCCTGGTAAACCTCACCAGATCTAACCAGGAGCTAGAGCCACCTCAGCTAGGATTCTAAAAATGTATAAATATAAACTAAAAAAACAATTCTGTCTCTGCACGATGATTATCTGTACATTTCATGCTGGAGCAGGTTTTCCTCAAGGGGAAACTCCACGGACCCAGACCTGAGGCCAACACGCAAGTGACAACGTGCAGTTCCACCCTCATCCACTAGGAGCTGGCACCAGAAATGAGCCAATTCTAGTTGACTCCCCTGTTAAAAATGTCAACGTCACAGCAGGAATTAACATGTTTAAAGCTTGGTTAAAAAACACATTTTTGGTTTAATAGATCTAGTTGTCAGTCATGACAAGTCTGCCGGGGTGTAATTAAATGCTTGAATTTATGAATATCCACGGTTACCGTCCATCGTGATCAGATCCGCGAGGTCGCTGCTGCAGAAGGGAGGATTACTGAGTTTGGGTACTGTCTCTCCCTTCAGCAGCGGTGCGGCCGCCCTGCGATCAGAGATCCGCAAATCTGCCGCTCCAGCCTCCCGGAGGCAGCCAAGCAAGGTAGGCTGCTGGCTTCTCCTGTCTCCTGGCCGGGAATACGCAGGCCAGTCTCCTGTCTCTCGAGGCATACAAGCCACTCAGCCGCCTTGTTTTGTCCGGCTCTCATGCAAGACTGTAGTTGTTCTGGAGCTCTCTGAGGGAGACCACAGAAACACTGCAGCTCTTTGAGTTGATGCGTGCTTCAATTTTGAGTCGCTCAACTGGGTTTTTCCGGCTAAAAGAGTCCAAAAAGCTCAGCTGGCAATGGGTGGCTACTTCCGTTGGCTAGCTCTGTGCTAATTTCGGGTTAGCTCTAGCTGCATTGGTTCAGAGTTTAATTGGTGTCAATCATTTACTCCCATCACTACAGTGCCACATTTAGCTCTACCTTTTTTGCCCATTTTTGGATTTGATGGAGTGACGACACGAGTTACACGAACAAGATGGCGGTGGTGGGCTTTGCCCATTTGGCTTCTCAGAAAGCTATGGGTGAGATTTGTCAATCGTGTTATTACAGTCATTGGTTTTCCCCGATGGTTTTCCCCACATACAGGTCCTTCTCAAAAAATTTGCATATTGTGATAAAGTTAATTATTTTCTGTAATGTACTGATAAAACATTAGACTTGATTCATTACACACAACTGAAGTAGTTCAAGCCTTTTTATTGTTTCTAATATTGATGATGTTAGCATACAGCTCATGAAAACCCAAGATTCCTATCTCAAAAAATTAGCATATCATGAAAAGTTTCTCTAAACAAACTATTAACCTAATCAGCTGAATCAACTAATTACCTCTAAACACCTGCAAAAGATTCCTGAAGCTTTTAAAAACTCCCACCCTGGTTCATTACTCAAAACCGCAGTCATGGGTAAGACTGCCGACCTGACTGCTGTCCAGAAGGCCATCATTGACACCCTCAAGCAAGAGGGTAAGACACAGAAAGACATTTCTGAATGAACAGGCTGTTCCCAGAGTGCTGTATCAAGGCACCTCAGTGTGAAGTCTGTGGGAAGGAAAAAGTGTGGCAGAAAACGCTGCACAACGAGAAGAGGTGAAGGACAGATTCCAGACCTTGGGGGACCTGCGGAAGCAGTGGAATGAGTCTGGAGTAGAAACATCCAGAGCCACCATGTACAGGCGTGTGCAGGAAATGGGTTACATGTGCCGCATTCCCCAGGTCAAGCCACTTTTGAACCAGAAACAGCGGCAGAAGCGCTTGACCTGGGCTGCAGAGAAGCAGCACTGGACTGTTGCTCGGTGGTCCAAAGTACTTTTTTCGGATGAAAGCAAATTCTGCATGTCATTCAGAAATCAAGGTGCCAGAGTCTGGAGGAAGAATGGGCAGAGGGAAATGCCAAAATGCCTGAAGTCCAGTGTCAAGTACCCACAGTCAGTGATGGTCTGCGGTGCCAAGTCAGCTGCTGGTGTTGGTCCTCTGTGTTTTATCAAGGGCAGGGTCAATGCAGCTAGTTGTTACAACCCAGGTGTTTAGGGGGCCTGGGGTAACATGGAGGACACATGACACAAAGGAAAATTAACAAAGGTTTCATTTACTTTTCTCCTTTTTTTTTTTGTCTTACTCTAGAAAAGAAACCACAGTGAAACAACCCATTTAACCAAAACAGGCTCAAGCACTAAAATGTAACATAACAAATCTCAAAAAGGTAACAGATTACCCCTAAAGCTTATTTCTTTTTGCTAATCAATATCAAAACCCTAAATGGGAGACAACAGACCAGAGGAAAGGCAGCTGTGCACTATTGTCCCCATTGGTGACGAGCTCCAGCAGGTCCTTTAAGCAATCCGCGGCTGATGAAAACCCAGCTCAGCTGGTGCAGGGAGGAGCAAGGGTGAGCAACCAGGCCATAGTCTGCAGGCATGCTCCTCAGATGCAGCACTGGAACACAAAAATGCACAGAAAATGAAAACACAACACAAAAAGGCTCCAGCCGTAACACTAGCTATCAGGAGATTTTGGAGCACTTCATGCTTCCATCTGCTGAAAAGCTTTATGGAGATGAAGATTTCGTTTTTCAGCATGATTTGGCACCTGCTCACAGTACCAAAACCACCGGTAAATGGCCTTACTGACCATGGTATTACTGTGCTCAATTGGCCTGCCAACTGTCCTGACCTGAACCCCGTTGAGAATCTGTGGGATATTGTGAAGAGAAAGTTGAGAGACGGAAGGCCTCTATCAAAGCATCCTGGGCCTCCATAACACCTCAGCAGTGCCACAGGGTGATTGCCTCCATTCCACGCTGCATTGAAGCAGTAATTTCTGCAAAAGGATTCCTGACCAAGTATTGAGTGCATAACTGAACATAATTATTTGAAGGTTGACTTTTTTTGTATTAAAAACACTTTTCTTGAATTGCTCAGATGAAATATGCTATTTTTTTGAGATAGGGATTTTGGGTTTTCATGAGCAGTATGCCAAAATCATCAATATTAGAAACAATAACAGGCTTGAACTACTTCAGTTGTGTGTAATAAATCTAATATATATGAAAGTCTATTGTTTATCAGTACATTACAGGAAATAATGAACTTGATCACAATATGCTAATGTTTTTGAGAAGGGCCTGTACAATCATTAATCTGGCTACATTAAAAGTGCCCAAGGTAAGACTGACCCCCTGTGGTCAAATGTGGGTATAGGTAACAAAACTAGTCCACTCTGAGCAACGGCTGCCAGTGTTGATCAGTGTTGGGAATGATACTTTGAAAAGTAATTAGCTGTAGTTTGTAATTACTTTGGCAAAAAGTCACTCAGTTAGTTTTTGAGTTACAAGATTATAAAATACAAAGAAAAAAATAATTCAGAAAAATATGTAAGTAAAATTGGATCCCTCTTCATTTACTATAAGATTCTACAATACTAAAATGTAAATGAGTAAAAAGACTTGAACAAAATAAAACACATGTCTAAATGTTTATTATACAACTTAATAAATGGACACTTAACGGGATGAACTACAAACACGAAACACGACACTAAACATTTCAAATGTCACACAAAATGTATAAATCCACATAGAAAACATCTGCAAAGGGTTCCTCAGCCTTTACGTAGTCTCTCAGTCTAGTTGAATTAATGAAAAAAAGTTATTTTGCACAGTATTCTAATTTTTCCTGTTTCACATAACTGTGTGTTTTTACTAGTGTTTCTATTACTCGTAATCTAGTTACAGTATATGTGTAAAAAATCTTCAAAAATGACATTAGAACAGGCACATCTTCTTCTTCTGGCTCTTGGAGAGTACAGACACTTTTTTCCTCCTCTCCTCAGAATCAGAATCAGAAGTTTTGATTGCCATATGTGTGCCAAGTCTCAACATTAGGAAATTGCTGCGGTATTTTGGTGCAGAACGTAAGATAGAAAAAAAAATTAATTAAGAGATAAGCAAATATAAGAACTAATAAAACACTCATGATAAAATTATTAATGTAAAAAGTGGCAAGAATTAGAGAAGCAGCTATCTACTCCGTGTAGGTATTAATCTGAGTATTTGTTGAATGGTTCAAGCACAGCATCGGGTCACGTGACTGGGACCAATCAACTTGAGTGGGCTGCCCTAGGATGTTCATTCAAAAGTCCAACTGCAGAAGGGAAGAAACTGTGTTTGTGGCGAGAGGTTCTGGTCCGAATGGATCTGAGCCTTCTGCCAGATGGGAGCGGGTCGAAGAGACTGTGTCCAGGGTGAGACGAGTCTGCTATTATCCAACCTGCACGCCTCA